AACCAGAGGCGAGCTTCTGTTGCAAAATCTTGGGATCAGACAAACACAGCAAAGCCGGAAACTTGATTTGATTTCACTGGGAAGTCCTTCTCTCATACATACACCGGTTTGCAGTGACTCCCTAATACTTTGTTTATTGCAAGCTTCCTCTGTTCCAACTAAATTTGAAAGTGTGTCCTGCACACGAATGCCTCTCTGGCAGTGAATAAAACGAGGCCACGCGATCTGAAGTTAAATCAAATCCACCTTGGGGCGTTTTGCATCCACGCCGTTTCAAAAATCAAGGGATCCTTGAAGACAATTTCCACTGCAAGCTTGGCATCGTGATTTCGTTACATCATAGAGATGCGTGATAAGTGGGTCACAATCAACAAGCCACATCTTTTATCGAAGGACGTAGGAATTTGTAAAAGAGGGAAATATTTAACCTCCTGCGCAGATTTCCCCTTTGGAAATTCTGCAAAGACCTGCACAAAACATTTTTGGCTGTGTCTAAAAATGATTTAAACTGTGGAGTCTTTTCAACACAGACAAGCATGGGAATGATCTTTTATTGGCAACATTCACGAGCGAGAGAACAGAACGTCCGTGGTAACAAGATTTTTTAATGTTTTGGGTAAAAGAAAAAAAAAGGTGCAAAACAATTGTCTTATTTAAGAAAAGGCAGAGGAACACATGGCGTCGCAGGTGCAACAGGTTACAGTGCACTATTTCACCACAACAGTATTGTTTTTGTGATTTTAATGTGTATTTTCTTTTTTTCTTTTCTTACTAATTGTACGTGTTAATTTATGACGTGTTTAGCGTGCGCGCTACGGAGAGGATTGCGTGGTGACGTCACGTTGCGCGCGTGATTCCCCGCCCACGGCGGATGTGAATTGGGAACCAGGTAAGACGTGCATCAGCACTCCCGGAATAGCTGCGCCGATTCAAGTCATAAGATTCGACGTTGCGGCAGATAATTACGAACGTTCTACTGAAAATAACCTAGGTGATTTGGGGAAAGTGTTGTCGTCGCTGGGTGACATTTGCAGCCGCTCTCCGTCGATCGGACTAGGCTAATGTTGCTAACGTCGATTAGCGCGCAACCTATTTTATTTTGTTTGTGATCTCCAGGAGAGCCAGCGAGTCCGTCCGTGTTGCACATCGGCCTCGTAGGTCATTTTACGCACACAGGTATGTTTTTTTTTAAATTGTACATTTTGCTGATGTTTGTTTTCTGCCACACTCGCTCTTGATGTGGCCGAGGAGAGCCAGCGAGACCGGCCGAGTTGCCCAGCGGTCTCTGCACGGAGGTCGGAAAATAAAAGCACACAAATTGACTCCAGTTGAGCAATACCAGAATAGAATTTTTAATGTATATTCCTAATTTTGAATGCAACATGTTTATCTCTATAATGTGAGTTCAAAAGAAGACCTCAGAATCACGTGTTCAAATTGAGGAAACGAAATTAAATGAACTTCACTTAATAATCAGTTGTGTTGCTTTCTGCTTTTGCATAACCGTCAGCCCACATGAGTGAGGAGGTACTAACGTTATGACCAAAAGACCCAAACAGTTCCTCTAATCATAGCGCAAACTCTTAAGCACAAGTTTACAGGCCCTCATTTCCCCAACAGGAATGACAACGTGAGGTGTCATATTTGCGCATGGCCGGCGTCCACTCATCTGTTCTTACTTAGTTCTCACCACGTGAATGTCAACACCCTGACAAAGTCCGCAAGTGGCTGTGCAAGTTTGAGCTGCACATCAAATCTGGATCCCTTTTGCTTCTTCACACTAAGATAATGCATTCACTTCACAGGCACGATGCGCTGTCAACAGCTTGCAATGCTCTCCGGGGGGGAAATTTACATGAGAAAAAATAAGCACCTTGTTTTTGGAAAACGTTATCTCTAGAGTTCAGCGTTGTCATAACGGTCCACATTCTCACGGAGGACATAGCCAAAAAGACTTGGAAGACCCGACAGGAAAGAGCCTCTTTAACAAACGCACCAAACTACAGAAAGAGCAAGAAGAACAGAGATGAAAGTTGGATGTTTACAGAGAGGAACAGAGAAAGGAATGCATGAAGTACGCTGACGCGGTAACCGCCATCTCTGGGAGGTATTCGGAATTTCCCAAGAAAATGAATGCATTGAGAAATGTTGATGGCAACGCAGCAGCACATGATGTTAACTTTGCTCAGGGGTGTCCGAACTGTTTTTTTTTTTTTTTGAGAGCCACATGCATAAAAATGGAAGGGTAAAAGGGCTAATTTAAATTTCTAAAACTTTTTGAATCATGCTAAAATCATCCAAGAAAGCAATTCTGTATTGTTTATATTGTCGAATTAGTCAGCTTTCTGTTAAAGGTGAAGTTTTTTGGGGTGGCCAACGGCCCCCTATCTCACGGAATAGATCCAGCTCTGCACGTAACAGCAGCCAAATCCCATCTCCACATCCAGAACCAAAAAAGAACAACCATGTGGCACATGTCAAATATCATTTTTTGTGTGTGTGTGTGTGTGTGTGTATATATATATATATATATATATATATATTTTTTTTTTGCTCATGTCCTGGGCAGGCCACAAATGGCCCTCGGGCTTAGCTCATAGTTGAATGACACCCAGCTGTTGTTGATCAGAGGAGGGCTGAACTGCTCCGCTGTGGCTCAGAGAGAAAAGACATCGATTTTCGAGATTAGGCTAACATTTTGACATGGATGTTTGGGACGATGACCAGTTCCTTTGTCTTAGGACTTTTCCCCAGAAAAATGTAACATCGCTTTCCGCGACATGAACTGGAGCTCAGAATCAAGCTCGTAACCGTTCCAGGAAGGCCAGTCATGATGCTGAAATGACACACACCATTGGCTTAGTCCAACGAATTGGCTTATTCCAACGAATTTCCGATGACTCCATGTTGATGTGGGTGATGATTGACGGCAATGCAGGTGCACCACACAGGAAGAGAACTGAGCTGGAGTCCTTCACGTCATGTTTTTGCCGGCAACACGATGACCACCTTATGCGCCTCAGCAATGTTAATTTGGTTACTTATCTCATGTCACGTGTTTGAGGTCCACGCGGGTTTCAATTGGAAAGCGCCTGCGTCATCCAATTCTGCTTTTGAAAGCCTTAGTTGCCCTTTTAAACAACTTGAAAACGACGAGTAAAATTGTCCGCAAATGGAACCACTGCCTTGTTTTGACTGGTTAGAATCCAGTGCATGATTCTTCACAGTTATAGTGTCATCTGCCAATGACGTGAAAACCAACTTTCTGTGAGCAAAGAAGATCCCTTTCACCGAACTGTATTGAATGTGGTCCGCAAGTAGCTGAGTCACGATCCGGAAGAGGTACGGAGAGGCGTCGCAACCCGGCCATAACCCTCTGGACAACCCAAATCTAGAGGAAGTCGCAACCCTCCATTTTATAGAGCTGTTACTATTTTAAGAAGTTTTTATTGGCTGGAGAAAAATAGTTTGTAAAACCATTTTTTTTTTTCTTTAACGAGACCGAAAGTTGAATTGATGTTCCACTGCATCAAAAGCTTTGCGGACGTTCACGAAAAGAATGAATCCATGGTCATCAATGAAATAATCAGTCATGTCTAAAATGAATCTAATGTTATTTATGAGGTCTATTTGGCATGAAAGCAATCTGTGTTTCCTCAATAACTGAATCCAGATCACTGTTGAGTAATTTGGCGAATACAATAGTTAACACCTTCAAGTCATTCTTAAGCAAATTTGTTGCCTGTTCTCCATCTTTTTTCTAATCCGCTTCTCACGAGTGTCGCGGGTGTGCCGGAGCCGAACCTAGCTGTCTTCGGGCAGTAGGCGGGGACATTTTGAATCGGTTGCCAGCCAATCGCAGGGCACATAGAGACGAACGACCATTCGCGCTCACAATCACATCTCGGGACAGTTTCGAGTGTTCCATTAACTTGCCATGCATGTTTCTGGAATGTGGGAGGAAACCGGAATACCCGGAAAAAAAACACCACGGCGAGAAAACACACCGGAAGGCCCCAGCTGGAATCGAACCCTGCACCTTTGCACTGTGAGGCGGATGTGCTCACCAGTCGCTCTATTACCAATGCGTTTCTTTGTCAAGAATTTCTACTTTTGGGGTCTTGCTGGCTGGGGGAAAAAACAATTTGAGAAAAATTTCAAAAGTGATTTTTTTTTTCAATTCATAATGCTTTGAAACAGAAAGCAATCGCAACAATTTTTGCTTGTGTCGAGTCCAATGTTTTAGATAAATATATTATGAATGTATATGTATCCCCCCCCCCCGCGTTATATTCCCACTTTATAAATGCAAAATGTTTTTGCTGTTGTAATTTGCATTTGTGGGATTTGTTTGGCCATCCGTTTTGCGTGTTTGTGATTATTTATGAATAAAAGTCGAAAAAATGTAGACAAAAAATGCATTTAACCAAAATCAAGTAAATAAAGATGCTCTCTTTTTGCAAAAAAAGTTACCTGCCATCCCACTTTTTTTAAGCTGGATCACTTGTCTTTTGTGGTGTGAAAACTTGGACAGTAAAACGCGAATGTACAAAAAAGTGTTCCTGCATGAATTGCCCGAAGATTTCTCAGTCGTACAGTAAAAAAACGAAGGGAAATATTTCAAGACATATTAACTGAACGATGGCAGCTTTGCACAATTGCGCACTGCTACCACCAAGCGGCAGGTAACATTATTTTTTTGGCTCGTGACGCCATGTTGTTTCAAAGCGTGCTTATTTTTTTTCTTTCCTTACATGAACACAAAAGTCAAAGCTCTTTCCCCTTGGGTGATTTTCTAATCCTCCTCATGGATGTTTAAAGTATTTATTGTCAGACACAATCACATTTTTTCGGCGCAGATGCTTCAAAAAAAGGTAACCAGCACCAAAATGACTCATTTTGGAGCTTAGTGAGAGGTCCTCCCCTTCCTGCGGACTGCACGGCAGGGGCGGAGCTTGTCGAAGGGGTGGAGCTTGTCGGAGGGGCGTTAACTCCCGGACGCTCGTCACATTGTACACGTCAGCATTCAATGAGTTGTGGAGTGGAGAAGATGCTACACCCCCCGTCAGACTTCCCGTTCCGAGCGGCGCTTGCTGTCAAGCTACGTTGCAGCCGCGGTAAGTCTCGGACAAGCTAACTTTTCACACGATGTTTGTACTCGTGTGAATCCTTAATTCGGCTCCTTTCTCCTCACAGGCGTTCAAAGAAAGCAGCAACGCTTGTGGCAGCTGGCACGGTGTGAAAAGTTAGTTGAATGTTAAACACACGTGACGCCAAAGGGCAACTTTCCAGATAATGTGAGCCGCCGGTGATCAAAGTTTGTTTTACTGAGCTTTCCAAAATGAGGTTGCGACTGGCTAAAAAGAATCTGCTGGTGCTTTTGGTCGTTTCCTTTTTCGTTTGGACTCTTTTGGTTTCCACGCGTGTGCTGTCAGTTTCAGAGAACGACGCAAGTGGCGCGAATAATCCAGCTCATCGAGGCACACGCTCAAGTAACACCATTAAGTTCGACTTTTCCGGGTCGCTGTCAGACCTGACGCAATCCGTCTACAGCGCAAATCACAAACAACATATTTTAAACGCCGAGCGGTTTCCAGGGGAGCCCCAACTGGTGCTGGTCGTCCAGGTCCACAACCGACCGGAATACCTGCAACTTCTCATCAACTCCCTGGAGAAAGCCGCGGAGGTCCGCAGCTTCCTCCTCATCTTCAGCCATGACTATTTTTCAGCGGAAATCAACGCCATTGTGCGAGGGATCACATTCTGCAAGGTCCTGCAAATTTATTTCCCGTTCAGCGCTCAGCTGTATCCCACTGAATTTCCTGGGCAGGATCCACGGGACTGCCCTTGGAACTTATCCAAAGACGATGCCATCAAAACGGGATGCCTCAATGCGGAGCACCCAGACTCTTATGGCCACTACAGAGAAGCCTCCGTTACTCAAACTAAACATCACTGGTGGTGGAAGTTGCACTTTGTGTGGGAGCGAGTGCGAGCAATGCAGGGCTACAGCGGACCGGTCATATTTCTGGAAGAGGACAACTACATTTTACCGGACTTTTTTCACTTCTATAAATTAATGCTTGAGTTCGGGAAGAGTAGTTGCCGGGATTGTGATTTGCTGGCTTTGGGAAACCATAATGACTTCACCGGCTTCCCCACACTGTCGAACAAGGTATTGACCACTGGGTGGATGTCCACGAAACACAACATCGGCATGGCCGTCTCCAGAGAGATGTACTACAAGCTGATGGGCTGTAGCGACCAATTCTGCACCTATGACGATTACAACTGGGACTGGACGCTGCAGCACCTTTCGGGTACCTGCATCTCAAAGCCTATAAAAGTGCTGGTGGCGCAGGGCTCTCGGGTTCTTCACACCGGAGATTGTGGGCTGCACCAGAAGCAGAACTGCAAGCCAGAATGGGCCTCGCAAAAGGTTGAGGAGACGCTGAAAATGGCTCAAGGTGCCCTTTTCCCTCCTTCTCTTGTCCTTACTGCTTCCGAAACAGCTCAACACAAGGACCACATGAAGAATGGAGGGTGGGGAGATGTCCGAGACCATATTCTATGCAATAACTATGCCAAACGACTTTAAAGTCTGCCTTACTGTGACACATATTTAAAAAAAAAGGTCCTTTCTGCACATTTTTCCAACTTACACATTCACAAGTGAGGTTTCAAGAGTCTTTCCTGTGTGTTTTTTAACGCTTGACAGGTCTTGACAAGCAAATCAAGTCCGAGCGCGTTGGGCATACTTTTGCAAAGTTTTTCAGCACTTGATATGCAGCAGATGTGTCATTGCCAAAGACTGTTCATAATGTGAATATTCTTTGTTAATAATGTTAGTCTATCATGCTATTGGTCTGTGAAAGGCGAGCATCCAGTTCAGGGTGAAACCCGCCTTTTGTCCAAAGTTAGCTCTTCCACTTACCCCGGTAATCCTTATTAGGATAAACGGTATAAAATGGATGGATGCTTTACCTATTCCAAACCTTTTGAGCATTTTATTCCATTTATTTTTTTTTTCCATGATTGACAGCATGTTTGACACAAGTGTGTCATGTCTTGCACTGCATCCGTGAAATCACTTGCTATGTTTCTAGTTGTGCTTTCAAAGGTACAATTTCAAGTGCAGTTAAAACATGGAAGGGATGGAAATGTTAAACTGATGCACATAATGCAAGTTACTGAATACAGCAAAGTCAACAGTGACAGTGCCCCCCCCCCCCCTATGTGTTTGCTCTTGAAGCGGCAGAAAAGTGCCCTTTGGAAACTTTGTCCCAACGGATCCCAAACTGTGCATTTGCTCTACAAACAAAAGTGAAAAATGCCTTAATGTGAATTGTTTTGGCAGTGTAAAACTGAAGTTTAACACGGTCCTTATTCATGATGTAATTTTGGTTCATCTGACCGGTAGTGCCTTTTGATTGTTCCTTCATACCTCAGCCGAGTGTCAAGAACGCATTTAGGCTTTGTCTGAAATTTTATAAAAGGAGTCGGGGATTCATGTAATTATTTTGCAAATGTGTATTATTTGAAATGAACAGTGACATCTTGTTTGTTAGACAACCAGCTATGCAAGATGGTGCACTGATTAGATTCTCAACCCTATTTAGTCATTCCCGGTGCAGAATATACTGAATATGCTGTATCCTATAAATAACAGCCTCTGATATTAATGTGCTGACAGAGTTCATGATTCTCAAGTCGGTGGCGTGGCGCAGATATAAATTTTTGTCTTGACTAATTTTGGAAAATTGTAATACCTCTTTATTGATGATCAATATTTTTTTTTCACGGTGGAAAAAAAATAAAAATCTATTTTCCCTATTCATCTGTGATAAAAGTACTTCCTGCTTCCGAGGATTTAACAAGTACAGTACTGATTGTAGTGTTAGTTGAGTGTTTGTTTATTACATTTTTAAAAAGTGTGAAAAGGGGACAATTCACAGGGAATTGGCTTTCTGTTGCATGTTCCTGTTCACAAATAGATGGTTCTCCTCAAAGCCCGCCCACAGACCAACTGTCAAACACTAAGTAAAGCTCGCCATTCTGAGCTTTGCCCCGCTGCGGACAGTGCGGCACACCGAATTTAGCCATGCTGGGCAAAGATCCAGACCCACAAGCCATGGCCCCTATGACATTGTAACACTCCTCAATGCCAAAATGACGAATTGAGTTGCATTCAGATTAGCATTCACACATTTAGCTTCTTATAAGAAGTATACAGTTGATTGCTCAGTGAAGTAGGAAGTGGTTTCCAACGTCATTAGTGACGTCACTGAAGCAAGGTCCGGCCCACTGCGTCGCTATTGGTCGGCTATCGAGTTGCAAGCGGAGGTAGCGTGACTACTTCAGTCCCAGTTTATTTCCGGAAGTAACTTGTCACTTCCGCCACTTTACCAAAAAACAAACGTCACGAAGATTGGTAAGTATTTAACCCAATATTTTACACGTTGTATTACATGTTGGTGATGTAAAGAATAGGTCGATGTATTTTTATCACTCGTTTTAGATAAAACCAGCGTTAATGTTAGCCGATAGCTGTTCTCCAATCGCCGTAATTTATGTAATCCTAACGTAATCGTTTCTTTTTGAGACAACGACACAATGTGCAAATAATTGAGGCCCAGTGGAAACATTTAGAATAGTAAAGGGATTCGTGTGTGTGTGTTGTGTTGTTTTTGTGTCGTCTTAGTAGAGCAACGGCGAGTTAACTGTTAGCTATTAGCTAGCGCAAGCTATCTTCCCTGGAATTCAGTCGTCGAAACTCATCCATGTCAAACATTTCTCAATCGAATATCAATGCATAACTGAAGTATTAACCTATTTCATGTTGACTGTTGCAGCCATTATTGGCGTGCCCTCACCCAGGAGATGGCACACTGGTTTCACCGAAACCCTCTGAAGGCGACAGCGCCCGTGTCCTTTAATTTTTATGGTGTAGCAGGGAGCCCCGCTGCCAATAAAATCTGCAAGTATGTCTGATGTGTTGATGTAATAATGATAATGTCATCAGATTTGGACTTGGGCATTTATAATGGTGATAAAACATTGGTTGCTATGTTGATCTTAAACTGTGCGGTCTCCTGATTAAGATCTTTCAGCCAGCCCAATGCTCTGCATGACATGGTTTCCTGTCCAATCAAGAAACACCATCTAACGATTGACTTGTTGTTCACAAATGCAGTGACCTAAGGACAACCAGGGCAAGGCTGCTGGAAATGTTCACGGATGTCACCTGTAACGCAGAGATGATGAAAAGTGCCACAGATGCATACTTCTCCCTCCTGCAATGTTAGTTGTCACAGTCACACAAAATCCCCCAAAAGAATTTATAAAATATAGTGTGTGCCACTGTTAATCACATCATCTGAACTACCATGGATTTTAGTTCCTAAAAGTGTGACATTCTCTGCGACAGATAATGTGCCCCGATTAGTCGGCAGACGAATAGACCACTTTGTTCACTTGACAATTTGTAGCATCGTCAAGCACACAAAAGTCAGGTGTCTTGCTAAATGAATCATTTGGGGACAAACCAAACCTTGTTGAAGTGCGCTTCCTGATCCAACAGGCTTCATTGTATCCTTGGACGGAACTACACAGGACAACAAGATGAGATATATTCAGAACTTCAAATGGACTGATACTTTACAAGGGAACACACCAAGGTACGCGTCAATTGTCGGAAGCCTTTCCACTGCCAATCTAGCAACATGCTATACCTCAGTTGATGACTTTGTTTGAACGTTGCCCTTGTTCCGCGCTGCGGTCCTAGTGCCCAACAAGATGCGGTTTTCGAGCTGGTCTCCATGGCCTTCAACGTCGCGCTCTGGTACACCAAGTTCGCCTCCAGACTTGCCGGAAAAGAAAAGTACGTGTTTGTGTCATTGTCTTGAAACGTTACTGAAGGTGACCTGCTTTTAACAGTTTTTTTTTTTTTGCGTTTTTTATTTTTGACAGTGTCTCAGAGGACGAAGCAAAAGTTGTTCACCGCAGCCTGAAAGTCGCTGCCGGAATCTTCAAAAATCTTCGGGTAACGGAGACGTCGTCACAAAATGTCTTGATTGTGGGTTCAACCAGCCTGCAGTTGTGAGCAGATTTTGGTTAAAATACATTGATCGCTCTTTGTCATCACCTTACGCTCGATCCATATCAAAACTGATTTAAGCATGTCAAAAGCGGATGACAAAATGCATCCCCCTAGTGAGCTGTGTTTCTTATTGTTTTTTTTTTAGCAGGGAACTCCCCTTTTGATCACCCAGCCATGGTTTTTATTTATTTATTTTAAACAACACATTGCACAAAATGAAGCAGACTGTTCTCGACCGCCCTCGTTTCATGTGCTGCCATGATGACTTAATATGAAAAAAAATGGAGGAAATGGCTGTGATTTTCTAACAGGAGGCCCACATCCCTCGTCTCATCACCCCTGCAGAAAAAGGGAGGGACCTGGATCCCAGAGTGATTGACGCCTACATGATCCAGTCTCAGGCAGAAGCTCAAGAAGGTTTGTTCCGCCGTTACTGGAAAACAGGCGCTTGCCTCAAATTTGGCACGATGTCATCGTTCCTTGTCAGATTGTTATCTTCTCCTCATAAGTTCTCGAGGCAACGAACTCAAGAGAATTTGCTCCCAGTCTTGACGAGTATATTTGAGTATGCAAACATTGTTGTTCCTCCGCAGTGACGATCGCCAGAGCCATTGAACTGAAGCACAACGCCTCAATTGTCGCCGCGTTGGCATCGGAGACGGCAAACTTTTATCAGAAAGCCGGTGAGCGTTTCAGGACCGGAGTCGTTTCATCATCGTCATTTGTCAAGTTGTTTTAAGTCCGCCGTGTCCATTCCGATGTGGCTCGCGACCATCGTCGCAGCAGTGCAGTCGAACCTCGTGACGACATACCTCCGGGGACATAACGAATCTTGTCGTGGGGGCAGTTAGCTTCCCACGGTCCGTCGTAACGAAGGCCTTTTCAAAATGAACGACGTGAAATCGGGACTTTGAAATGTGAACGATGCAAACGGGGTACGTTGCAAAGAGGTTCGACCGGACTAAAGCGACGGTTTGCTATGATGAAAACCTGCCGATTTTGTCTCCAGATCACACTCTGAACACTTTGGAGCCCGAGTACAGCGGCAAGTGGAGGAAGTATCTCCAGCTCAAGTTCTTCTTCTACATGGCTTATGTAAGTTTGTTTGCTCGCGTCAGGGTTTGATGTACTTTGTGATGTCATATCCTCAGCAGTGTGGTGGGCAACACGGGCCGCTTTGCTTTTACAGGCGTATTGCTATCACGGACAGACCCTGCTGGCGAATGATAAGTGTGGCGAGGCGATCCGATCTCTCCAAGAAGCAGAAAAGGGTATTTGTCTCGGTTGGAATTACGTCTCGGCAAAAATAAGTTTGGAATTTTTGGAACGGTAGCTCACTCTTTGACGTCAAGTCAAGCAGGTTGTGCGACTTGTGCAGTCTCAAGTCACCCCTGTTCAGCCTAAAAAAATTAAAAAGCCAAGAAATGACACACTGTACAAGTTGAAAATTGAAACGTGGCTGCAAAATGAAATCTGCTGTTGAACCTTTAGTACAGTGCATTACCACACAGGCCTGGTTGTTCTCGGATTGGTCAGTACTGGCCCAAATTCTCACTTTTGCTCACTTGACTGGCTGCCTTCCTCATTGAAATAAAGGACGTTTTTTTTTTTTGGGTAGCGTATTCCCGGGCTGAAGAACTGTGTAAAGACTATCGTCACACCAAGGGTCCAGGCACCACGGCCAAACCATCTGAGCAGCTTTTCTTCCTCAAACTTGGTGGCTTCATTAAGAACACACTGGATAAGTGCCAGAGAGAAGGACGCTTCATGTGAGTCACACACACATAAGCGCACATAAGCTGTGACGTGCGACAGAGCAACTGCCAAAAAAAATGTTTTGGTTCTTGTGAAATCATATCACCATTGACACAATTCACCTTAAGCACTTATTTGTGCACATTTTTTTCTCCCAGATACTTCCACAAGGTCCCAGCTGAACCTCCCCAGCTCGAGTTGAAGGCAAACTATGGCCTGGTCGAGCCAGTCCCCTTTGAACTGCCGTCCCCCAGTGAGCAGTGTACTCCTGAAGTTTATGCCACCTTTGACCTGACCAAGGGAGCCAAAAATGACAAGGTCGTATAACTCGCCTTCAAGGATTTTTTTTTTTTGTTTGTTTTCCCCCGGGTTTGTTTTCAGAACCACATTTGGTGCCGCAATTCAAATTATTCCTCGTAATCATGTTTATTGTGCCTTTTTTTCCCCCTCCAGGCCAAGCTTAAAGAGGAAGATGTGAAACCAATGAAGGAACCTGATTTAAAGCCCCAGAAGGACACAGGCTGCACCATTTCCTAAATACATTTGAGTCATTCCTCTCATGATGCAGTAGCATCCAGTATCCACACAAGTTATCCTCTCTTCTTTTACATGTATGCTGGAATGTTCTGTGTATTCCGATGTAACCACCATCATTATGGCCATTGCCAGTTATGGTTCTTTTTAGAGCTCATAGTAAAGACCGAGTGTTTGTGGCATTTGATTGAAACTGTGCCCCATCATGTAAACCTGTAAAGTGTACTCAGCTCAAACTTTGTCATTCAGCTTGAGATAGCTGGGGTTATTCTTTTTCAAATTCACTCCCAAGAAATTTATGACTAAAGTCATATCATTTTACATGAATATTAATCCATAATGGATAAACAAAATAAATCAGACTGATGACCTAATTTAGCTTATTGTAGGTGAAGCGGTTTCCAATAATGTTAGTTCACAAGCGTAGGCATTTTTTTTTTTAACCTAGTTTGGATCTGTCAGTTTACTAATCAAGAATGAAACAAAAAAAAAAGATAGCTTAGTCTTTGGATTTTGCCCCTCATAATCATAGTTCCTTATTTATTCATTTACTGGATATTTTAGGGTATAACTTAAAACCAACAGTATCAAATTCAGTGTGACTCCAAAAATGTTGTCCAACTTATTTTTTTGTAATATTCTTTATATGTAACAATTGCCTTGCATAAACTGCTGACTTATGTTTTTACTCTTTTCTTGCTGAGAAAGCGGCGTTAATAGTTAACACTACGTGTACTGTATGCTTTTTGGTGATGCTGCCCTGACACTTGAGTACAAATGCAAACAGACAATTAAAGGAAGTGCTCTTACGATCTGCTTGACAGACAATTATCATATCCTCCCAGACTCTCCAGTTGGATTTCAATCGAAGTGAGCTGAAGCACAACCAGTCAAAATTATGTACACGGTTATATGGTATATTTGTGTTGTATGCTACTCACAATATTTTTGTCTCCAGGCTCGATGACGACGGTAACAGTGAAAAAATGGGAATGCTGGCAAAATTCTGCAAAACATGAATGCAATGCGAGAAACAATTGTTGTTCTCTTTGGAACTGACTGATAGTTGTTTGTATTTTCATCAAGACACTTGTTCATCAGTAGAGGTAGGCATCACGTGGTTCACGCTCACAACTGAAAATCATTGCAAACTACCTGTTGTAATTTATGTAAACTGTATCACAATCAATATTAAATCACAATTATAACTAATTCCTTGTATGGGTTTATGTCATTGTATTAGAGCATCCTGTACACACAATTTTTTTTTTTTTTGCAAGATGTAAAAGCTAATTAAGGCTTCTACTGAACCTTAAGCAAACTTTTTATGTAACAAAAGTGCCGCAGAAGAATTACTATTTCTTGCTAGTTGCTGAGCAAACATTTTGCACCATCTCAATATTTATCATCACAGTAGCAGTGTTAAATATATTAGCTGTCAGTAGCTGTAAACATGAGAAAATGAGTGTTTCATCAACATTTATAATCCATGCAAAATCAGAACATTAAAAAAGACAGAATCTACTGTCGACTTTGAGTAAATCTGTCGGCCAGATGTGCTATTGTGTACGCGACGGTGATAAAAATTTCAAGCGTTGCTGACTCTTCAAAAAACATTATCCGACGAGGATGGGATTCGAACCCACGCGTGCAGAGCACAATGGATTAGCAGTCCATCGCCTTAACCACTCGGCCACCTCGTCTCGTGACATACCTCTTATCATACATTTATAGATATAGATGGCCTCATATAAAGCGGAAGCGCTTCCGATGTCTAACCAACTTTGCTGCCATTTTTTTACGATAAACACTTCCAAAAATGATAACATGTCAATGCTAACATAATTCCCAGAGCATTTACTATGACGTTCACATTGAACGCGTTTAATTTAAGTTAAAAAAAACGAAGATGCATAAGCAATCGATTAGATTTGCGTCTTATCACCAATAGTTGTTAAACTACACAGAGACAAACCGACAATATGATTATCATTGCCCGACATTTTAACTTCTTCCCGGTTTTGCAAATGTTAAGACTCTCGCGCGCCCTCGCGTGGTATCAGAAGAACACTACAACTCTTAAGTGTCAAAGCCCAATACGGGCCCATCAGATGAGAACTGAATTTGACATTCATTTGGCTTCATTTGCAGGCCTCTGTTCAATAATCTTTCCTGGCAAATCCGTCACCCGGTTGCTATCCTGGTAGACATCAAGCGCTTAGTTGATCAAGGGCGGCTTTCATCGGACTATAACAGAAGTTTGAAAGTTAGCTTCATATGTCTGAACAAAATTAATAAAAAGTCGGTTCTTTCCAAAGAACTTTGTGAGTGCAGGGCTTTTGGTTTTGATGCTCTCTCCTCTTGAAATAAAGACATGTTATTGATCTGTGAGGGAAACATGTGGATAGGATCATAAAAATAATTTCGTTCAGCACCATTATGGAGAGTGGTCCCAAATTGATCGCGAGGGGTTTGGTGGGTAATGGGAAAAAAAAAAAAAAAGATTTTTGTATCAGTGTGCGTGTTATTAATATTCTACATGTTTGTGTTAGTGCACACTGCACCCTAAGCATCCTATCAGTCCCACTTTCACAAAAAAAAAAAAAAATTAAAAATAAAATAAAAATGAAAAAAGCAGGTCACCCTTAACCTACGGTGGGGCGTGACCCACATCACCGGAAGTTGTAGGCAATCAGCAGTCTGCACTTGCACTTTGGGATTACAAGCGTTGCCTTCTCACTTTTGTTTGTTTGTTTGTTTGTTTTGTTTCTTTGTCCTCATTCAAAGTTTGTTTAATCCGCAATTGACCGATGGCAATGGGAATCTGAAGTGCCAGAAGAAAAATGTTCAAACGATACGCGTGAGCGACGATAGTGACGTTGTTGCACTGAAGACGCTGCAGGAGGGCGTCCCATGCCGCCGCGTCAGGACTCCAACTAAGGTAGGCAGTGATTTCCTTTTCGCAAACTCACAAACTATTGTCTCTACTTTTCAGTCTTGCTCCCGTTAGAGTCCATTATGGCTGTTGCTCATCGTGGCATGCGTGAGTGCGTGCGAATGCGTGCACTTGCGGTAACGGGTTGATCGCGGGAGGTTGTTTGCTTGAAAAGTAGATCTTCGGCCAAGAAAGGTTGGACAGCCTTGATGTCTTGCAGAGATTATGAAGGAAAACCTTACAGTACTATACTTGCACCAGGATACATGATGTTCCATTTCTGGTTGTCGAAGCGACAATGCAATATTTGATACAGTATTGACTCTACGTTCCTTATTAGTTTATCAGAAACCTGTGGCACATTCAGCACATAGCCTGAAATCGCAGTACCCTGTTTGCCAATGAAAGGAATGAGAGAATGACAGTTAAAGAAAATCACAGTGGATTCCCTGAGACATGCATTTTTATTTCACGCCGTGATGTTGAATATGGAGCAGAATGTAGGCAGTTGCATGACAGTCAAAATGGACAAAATTATCACCGGATAGTGACATAACGCAACAAAACAATCAAAATATTCCAGAAAAGAGCAAAGAGCAGGAGGTGGCTGGTGTCAAGATTCATTTGCCTTTCGTGCATATGGTTGATGTTTTCTGTTTCTCATTTTGTTTTTTCGAATCCCCCTGAGAAAGTAAGCAGAAAAGATCAACCATTTACCTTCAATCGCATTGCATAATTTGGCACAGTTGTGAATAAATCATATTCTGCAAGTGTACCTTTATGAGCTTCAGTAGTTCATCTCGAACCTGCGATTAGTGACACACATAAACACAGAACTTGACTCGCTGTACACATTCTACAGGTTGACTTGCTGTTTCAATGAAAGACACCAACCTTCTGCTCTGCCAAACAGCCCGTCAGCAAAATGGAAAGTCCCTGCAAGATGAGCGCAAAATAAACATTAAATCACTGGAATGGCAGAGAGATGATTAGCGTTTCTTTTCATGTTGCTTTGAGTTCCGTTGAAGCGGTTTCTTTGAGTTTTCTAGTAAATATGGAGAACGGTCTGTGAACGGCTTATGAGATGTAGATGTCGCGCTTCCCCTTTGAGGCTAATCTCATCGAAAGTGATCCAAAGAGAACATTTTGGGGACATTTGAGATCCCAAGTCCCGCCCGCTACTCCTCTTTCTGTCACCCGTAGGGAGACAATTTAGTCTTTATTAAATTGAAAATGGCCTATCTTCACATTTTGTGTATTCATTGGTCCACCTGAGGATTGAACATTGAGTGTGTGTGTGTGTGTGTGTGCGTGTGTCGAAAGTACCTGAAACGAATTGAGGATGCAAAAACTGTAGTTCACGGCAGTATTATAGGCCTCTCGGTTCCTCCTGGTGTCAAAAAGGTATCCGACAATCCACGTTAGTCCCAAGACTGGCGTCAAAAAGACCACGGCTTTGACGATGCGTTTGGCCGTTTCCTTTTGGTCTGTCTCGCCGCCATCGATGACCGGCGCCTTCATCAGCATGGCGATAACCACCGCCACGCAACAAAGATTTGTCACAAGAATGGTTCCCACCGGGACGAGAAAAGAGGACAAGGAGGTCTGGAAGGCTTTCCCGGGAACGAGCCAACAACGGTTGTCGTGGTAAAGCGTGTTGCTGTTTTCATAGTATATGTAGGTGGAGCCCACGATGAGCATCGGGCAGACGTAGCCCACCATGCCGGAGAGAAACATGAAAACCCGTTTGCTCAGCGGCTTGAACACAAAGACCAAATGGTGGATCAGCGTCACGCTCATGCACAGCATCCAGCAGAATGCCGCCAAGAAAAAGAGATGCTTGCAGACGGCCGCGACCTCGCACCATGCGGGATGCTTGGAAAGATCCGTGAAGGAGGAAACCAAGAAGGTGCTGTGGGCCAGCAAGAGAAAAAGGGCTATATTCACCATGACGGTGTGATAGAAATGTGAAAGGTCCGTTTTGACCACCGCTGACCACACCAGGAACTGACTGAGAAGGAAGAGAACCAAGGAGAAAATGGACACGATCAGACCGACTGTGGTGAGGACAACGAGGCTTTGCGGAGCGTCGTCGCCAAAGCCCCACAGGGCGGAGAACGCGGTCAAGTGGTTGCACACACACAGGATGCGATTACCGGCGGCACTTGCCACCGCGCACCCTTCTTCCGACCATCTCCCCGTGGCATTCCAGTACACGCAGAAAGTTTTTCTGGGCCTTGGTCGCTCCCCGAAGAATTCCAAACTGATTGTTAGCGACGGCTCATCCTCGTCTTCCAGCGTCGCGGCTATTAAGAGCGGCGACGGCTCTGTCTTGTGGAAGTCGTTTTGTAATTTATTCGTCAGATTCCTCACACCAAGTAGTTTCACGAATCCCGAGGACCCGTTTCTTGTCACGGTGACCATGCTGCCGAACAAAGTCACGCTGCAGTTATCGGCCGGGCAGAAGTTGAGGACTAAATTGTGAGCGGTCAAATTGCTTTGATCTCTGTCGATTTGGATGTTCCTCACTAAACGTTCCACGGCCCCGAGGTAACTTGAGGACAGGTTGTGAATGACGGACTTGTTGACTCCCTCCCAGGTTGGGGCCAGCAGATTACTTGCTGCGTGTGTGAAGTCCTGAAATGCAAAACAAAACGGGGTTGGGATTGAAACCGTTTCGAGACACGGGCTTTTTGTCTGTCAGTGAGTGAACAAAAACGTACATGCAAGACACCGTTCTTCAGGGGAATGCGCTCTGATGCGTCGGCCATCAACTCAAGAATGTGGATGGACGCCGTCAGGTCAGCCATGTTGCCACTTGAATTTGACACGGAACTGTTCAGGAGTCCGGCAAAAATAGCCATCGACGCCTCTGGAGTTGACCCCTGTCCTTTCACGAACCTCTAGAAACGTGCCAAAAAAGATGTCATTCAGCTATCGCAGATGTTTGTCGTGTTCCTGTGAACTTGTGTGTAAATCGCTTGTCTTATTCTGCCTCATCGCCTGATCGTTGTGCCGTGTCATCGTGTTTTGGCCCCATCTCTTGCCTTGACGCATTGCTCGATCGGACCCTATTTGTTTGTCACTCTGGCTTGATGTCTCATGAATTCTGGATACCTGATGATGCGCTTGGCTCGCGTGTCCAGAACAGTTGTTCAGCTACACAATTTTTCCGAAATAGACTCCGAGAAGCGCTCCATGCTACGCTAACCAATTGGAAACTCGGCAGTGTCACTGGAATGTACTGTTCGGTTATTCAGAGCGCCACAAAATAGGAGTGCCAGAGCACGCTCTCGCCGCTCGAACTGAGCAGCCGCAGCGTCGGGCGGGAAAAATGGAAGCTGTACAAGCAAAAATGCCACGATTATGGACTAATGAGGGGATTTGAAAAACCTCAGTCATCATTTGTGTTCTGTGACTACAGCTCGAGTTCACTAGAAAAAAAATGGTGTGTTGAATTGACTCAATTTTATTGGCTCAAGTGGTTGCACGGTGTATTGGGCATCTGGATGCAAATACATTTTGAATCATCATTTTGCTGCTTGTGAAAGTGCGACACATGCGTTACCTCCGCCGCTTTCGTAAGATTAAACAAATGGCGGCTGACGCATTTGGAGAACACTGGCTGCCAATCTTTTCCTTGACACGTGCGTGACTCGTAGCCAACTCTGCCTTCCGGACATGTGTGCTTAATCACCGTGTCTCCATCTGGGGTCTTTGGCCACAAATCACCCTCTTCTTCGCAAAATGTGCGACCCGCTGGGAGGAAAGATAAGAATAATTATTGATGACTAAGTAATGTTCGGATATTGTGACAATTTGGAAAAAAAAAACATCTGTCCTGCGGAAAGAAACACTGTAAAGCTAAATGTTATGTACCATAAATGACTGGAATGTCCAGTCTTGCGCTTTTGCGTTGATCCTTGCTGTTTTTAAATATGACAGTCACGTAAGGGGCGTCGCTCTCTTTCTGGCAGCTGATTGCAACTTTGAAATGGTAGCCCAAAGAATCGGCAGCGGCTGTAAACAAACACACGTCGGTTTCAGGATCATGTATAAGGTGTGCGGTTCAGACCCTGAAATTTGCAACTACAAGACAGTCTGACTTGAGTCCATAAGTCAGAGATCTTGTGCTCATTTGTGATATTTTTGGGTTCCAGCTAAAATGTCACGGTTCTACTCACTTTGTGACCAGCAGTTGGCATTAGAGGGCTTCTCCTCCAGCGTCGCACCTGTTGGTCATCGCGTCATTCGCTTTTCTGATATAAATAAGCTGTCCGGATGTTTGATGTCGATCTTACATTGCATTTCATCTCCATCTCCGTAGCTCCAGCCGACTTGATAGGCCTCACTGTCGTTGCGGACGGTGGCCGTTATATTCACCGTCACATTTTCAGTGCTTGGTCTTTTCGAGCAGTCCACAGTCACGGGTTTGGCTGTCATGCAGATCTCTTCAGGCAGAGGTACCACTCTTAGTACCGTCTTTGCCGTATGACTGAATGTCCCGTTGGTGAATTCACATTCATACTCGCCTGCGGTGAACAGACGTTTCACAAAGATGAGCAGACACAAATGACACTCGTCATACTGGAGACTATTTGATCAACAAAAAACGTTTTTGTTCAACAGTGTATGATGTACGTGGGAGAACATGATGAGGTGGAATGATCACGACCCAATAAATGGAAATGATGACAGGGGATGAGTTTAATGACATAAGAAATCTCTGCACTCACCTGTCCAGAGATTTGTTACATTTTGAAGTGTGACGGCAGTGCAAGACTTCTGTTCTTTTGTGGTACAGTTTGAATGCAGTTTGACCACACTGCCGTTGTGTAGCTCAAAGGGCTCATTCAGCTTGATTTTCCAGCCTGAGCTGTTCGATGCCTCCTCAAAAGTGCATTGCAGTGTCGACTCAGACAGGTAAGGTAGGACAGGTTTTTTCGGCTCGATGGTCACCATCCCTAACGAGAGAAAGAAAGTCCCGAAAATCTCGGCTCAACCCGACTGGAATGACAGGCATCTCCTCAAAGCAAAGCCTTCCGGCGCACTTCAAACCTTGGTGACACGATTAAGACCAAGAAAGACTGCTGCGCCCCAAAAAGCGGATACCCCGCACCCAGAAGACACAGTCTGCTTGACTTTGACTTGCCTTCAGATTTGACCCTGAAAACGGCCCCAAGGTTGCCTTCCAAAGTCGACACGACGCCTTGGAGTTTCGCCATGTCACATTTGACGGCGAGATTCACCTCAAAGTCCACGGAACAGTTGGACAGCCTTGAAAATAATTGAGAAATGCTCAAAAACCCCAACGTCACCTCCATTGTTTTCAGACTATGGTTTCCTTTTCACGCAGCAAAAATAAATAAAGACTTGATACTATTCCACCGATACTGTGTTGCGTTTCAATATGTCACGCCATTGATATTTCAATGTCATTTAATATGATCTATGTTGTTCAGTACCATACCTCAGGCCGATAATGTTCAGGCGTTGAAAACCGTTAAGTCCTTGAAAGGCCGTATGAAGCTTTCAAAAGAAAATCAGGAAGAATTGCATTTTAAGTTGCATATATATATATATATAAAATATTGTGTACCTGTTTTTGTTTGAATCCCACGTGGTTCCTGTCAGTGTTGCTGTTCCAGTGAGTTGGACTGTCGAGATGACAAAGGGAGATTTTGTTCAGTTCAGACCTCACCATCCTCATCATCTGAGAGGATTCCTGTAAAGTCTGTCTGGAGATCAGATCAGCAGTCCTCCATTACCTTGGACCTTGGCAATGCAAACTGGTCTGAATGCCAAGACATTGCGTTTGCACGGAGCGTCACTGCAGCAGTTTAAACGGTTGCACACCACGTTGCTCCAAATGTAGCCATCAGAACAGTTACAAGTGTACTCATCTATCAGATGTCTGCACTCTGGAATGGGAACACAGGCTGTTTTTTGACATACAGTACTGGACTGTATGTCAAAGGAAAGAAAAAAACATGAATAGAGTCACACGGAAAGAAAACAAAAACATTTTCCATCCTAGTGGCAGTAGATTTCGACTCTATTGCTCCAGATGAACTTGCTTTCTCCATTCCAATGTTCTTTAGCGTGTGGGACTGGATTGCAATCTTCTCCGTTATCCCTTGCCGGAGGACAAAACAGGTTAATCGGTAATTTGAAGGATGTACCTGCAACTATTTTACTGCTATCATTCACTCTGTGGCGTCTTCCCTCGCCACGGATCAGCTGGAGGTAGCTTCTCGCATTCAAAACTGACAGGATGCTCCGTGCTTGTACTGTGACATTATTTTCCACCAACATATCAGCATTGTAGGACGTCCCTAAAGAAATATTAGTCACATCTCTGGAAGTTAACGTGTGGTATCTTCATAAATAGAGAATACCGTATAGCCATCAGATTTCATCGATGCTATCGGCCACTTTTATTCAATAACATCCAAGCCTATGAATTTGAGATTCGAATCCATGTGAGGCAGACAGATGTTGGTGGGAGGGGGCGGGGGGGTATTGGAAAATTTTTTGAAGTCAAACTTGGCCATTGGACCGGAAATGTGAATCCACTTTTCTAAAAACATTGGTGGAACATGAGCAGTTAATAAAAAGTACAGAAAAACTGAAGTGTTTGTAATACATACCATCGGCAGAAACCTGCAAATCAAACAAACAATATATTTAGAAATGACTTACTACATATCCACTATTCCACTATTTGTTGAAAAAAAAGAAATTTAAAAAATTGGGACTTTTTGAAAGGTGACTCTGTTGTTGGCCCTCTTCCACCGCACTTGTACTCGTGCAAGTCCCTGACTGCTATGCTAAGTTGCCGAGCAGATGCTTCCAGTGCATTATTATAATTCTTATTATTCATAGTGCAGGCACCAGTGACGTTTGGACGCTGGCTTGATGATGACGTCATGACGTCGCTCCTACTTGGCTCTTTGCCGGTGGAAAAGCACTTTTGGGGCATTATGAGCAGCACTCTTTTCTGTGGTGCGTCCAATTTACAAGACCTATTGATTTCCACTTCGCAGGGGCTTTTGAATTTCCACTCGTCTAAATTGATACAAAAGTCAATCCCAGAAACAATCAATGTGAAGAAAGCATCATTACCTGATAGTACATGGCTAAAGATCCCAGCAGACACACTAACACGGTTGAAGACATTGTGTTCCTAATGGAGAAATATCACAATTCAATCAACAATGCATTACAATTAGAGGAGAGTGGAGACTGAGGCTTGTTGTCACGGTGCAATCATCTTTACCGCCAGAGGGCGCAATTGTCCATTGTTGAACCCACACCGAGCGCAGCCGACAAAAATTTAATTTCTGGTCCATTTATTGGACCCCAACATGCTTTAGGAACCATTTGTACCCTAATAGTAATCAATTTACTTAAAATGAAGACAATCCTACTTCAGCCCGAAAGCGCACTCCAACAATAATGTCGATCTGGTCTAATCATTAAACAGAAGAGTGACGCCGAATTTGTTTTACTGCTTCTCGAAACAGTGCTGCATTCATTCTTCTCCCCAGCTGCGATGCCACAAAATTTGAATTGAGCAGGCCACACTCACCTCATTGCTTGTCGCCTCACAACATGGTTACGTGTTTTTTTTTCCCCCTCCTCATCACTTTGACAATACTTTTATTAAAATAGACATGCATCCTTTTATGTGCATTTACGTCAGTTATAACCGCACTGTAGGACGCGGACAAAATCTCACCTACAGAGTAATACAATCATGTGCAGGACCACTAAATAATTATGGATAGATATTAGCTACAAAAACAGGATACAGTGATCCCTCGCTACTTTGCGGTTCGTTTATCGCGGGTTCAGTGCATCGCGGATTTTTTCAAACGTGTTTTTTTTTATTATTATTTTTTTTTACATATACATGGAGTGCAGTACTGTATATGTTGCTCTATGTGACTTGCTGTTGTTTTGCAGCTTCTCGCGGACCGTTTGCGGACTTTAAAAAAAAAAAAAAATTACCTGTTTATGTTAATTGGACGCTACTTCGCGGATTTTCATTTATCGCCATTGGTCCCCATTAACCGCGATAAATGAGGGATTACTGTACTTGAGGAGATAAAGTATCGATTTGTGTGTATTGGTACATCCCATCCTGCGGATTTGGGCCACCTGGGCTCCGTAATTTAAGCCAAGTGTCTCGAACTTGGCTGGCTCTTAAACTGGACAGTGATTTAAAATTGGACCGGCAAATTGGTGCCGGTGTGAAGTCAAATCCTAATTTCCTCCGTGAACATCTATCAAGTCATGTCTGAGGAATCGCTTTGCGCGGATCATCCCTTCCCTGCAAATTCCCGGCACAGCATCGCTGCTACAGATGAATAGAACTTCTTTAACATTCAGGGGAAGCTAAGTTGCATGAACGTTATCCACGGAAAGAAATGATTCTCACCTTTCAGCAGCAACTGGCATAGAGAAGCATACCATGAATGCGCGGTCCATCCAAGTTTGTTCCAAATTCATGAAGGCGGTGGAGACGCTCTGTGGCCTTTGTACTGAATCGCCCGAAAAAATTTGCATGTTTCATGACAGAATCGTCGTACAGGCAGACATCTTTTCATTTTTTACAAGGGGTTAATATTTGTCTACCAAATCAATCTTTCACCTTCGGGATGTCACACAGAAGCTTCCAAATAGATGTTACATGTTTAGTTTTTGTTTTTCCCTCTCTCAGTGTTACACGAGACTTCCCCCCCCCCCCCCCGAATGCTTTTTAGCCACATACGCAGCAAAACAAGAGACAAAAGAAATGGATGACTGCATCATTTGGTCCTAGTTCATTGACATTTATAATAACACAATGACAGAGTGTGGCACGCGATAAAAGAATGACATTTCGTATCGATCAGGCTCTATAAATGATCACTCAATTGTACACATTCATTGACATCAGAAAACTCAACAGACATCATACAACACGATTGTCAACATGGGGGGGCGAAAATCATCCTCTCTGTCCCCATCTGAATGCCTCTAATTTTATTTAAAAGTATTAATTCGTACCTTGTCACGGCGAGGCAAAACTAGCCAATCAGAGACTCTGGAGACAAAAGGCGTAACCAAGATTTGCTTCAGTCTTTTGCTCACATGCACAGCTGTTCACAGAGGCTCGCTGTTGCAGAGGAGACAATTATAGTTTCTTGGCCGCTTTCAGTGTTTAACGATGGCGAGCAAGAGAGGTTAAGCAGGAGGAATTGCGACGGGCCTTCCGGCCAGCGCCGCCTTTTTCACAGCACGTAATCTAAACGTAAAACCTCCCAAGCCTTTGTACGATCGGAAGGAGTCACCATCGTAGTTCTTCGCATCTACCGTGGCGATAGTCGTAAAAAGCACTACTGGTGCTTGACAGGGATCTGTAATATCCAACTTGTCGAGCTTGCGCATGTATCTCATGATGTCCTGTTCATCGAAGCGAGATGTGTACTAATTTGTACAGAATATTGACTTGGAAACCTTCATTTGATTACAGCGCTCCATCTTTCGCCAACTGTCCTGCACGGCCGTGTCAGCGAATGCACGCGGGGAACAGTCACATGACGTCCGGAGCTCCGTCACCGTTCGCATCGGACCATCAGCTAAGTGGATGACCTCTTTTATGTTTTACTGAATTGTATATTCCAAACAAAAATCAAACATCAAACTGGTAGCTTTTCATATCTGGCAATACTCCATCATGAATAAGTCATGCTATCAGTGTAGCTGCCTTGGCCTACTGACGTGCATGCGCGTTAGTCAGCTGGAGGCTTTGGGCCGAGATGTGATGGGGGAAGCGCAGATATGTCGACGAGATCCGCCGGCGCGCTGCAGCAGAATATCATGACTAGTGTGGCCGCGTAGAACATATTATCGGAAGGCTAATTTGAAAACCCTTGAAAGAGGACAATAGGACAGTAGTATGAAAGTACTTGAGAAGTAGAAGAACAATCTTATCTTGCAACATTCAAACAAGATTTGGCGACCGTTTGTCGCTAGGTCAACTCGAGCAGAGATGCGTGCAGTGCTCATCGAGATCAACCGGCGTGAGATGATGCACTGATATCAGAAGACAGGTTGTTGCCACCTGAAAAAAAACAAAACGCATCAACAAAGTAGACTCAGACAATGACAAAAAAAAAAAAAAAATGAAAGGCAACCAGTCGTTGGTGTTTTGACTTTGTGAAGTCTGCCGTGACATGCTGGTATCGACTGCACTTTGACTTTGGCTTCCGTTTTCAGTAGTGGCAAGACGTTAATGTTGTTGTTGTTGTTTTTAAATCCAGCTGACCAGGCGTTAACGTTATCAATTTTGGAGTATTATTCAGTTCAAGGTTCACTGACGGTATTGCGGTTGATTTTTAATGTGACTCCCAGGCAGAAGGAATGGATCTCGAAACCATTTGAATGTGAGCGTGATATGCCGTCGACCGGCGACCACTTGAAGTCGCGGTCTGTCAGCGGGGGGATGGGATGGATCGCGATTTGGATTCGGTGCTTCTGAATATCCTGAGATGATGGATCAAATAAAATTGCTGCGTTCATCCCGATGACGGGGGCCGCAACTACTGTTGGCAAATCGCAATGGAGACTTGAAGAAATGCTCATACCGTAACAAAACTTGGTTGTTGTGCCGTTTGGACTCGGGGAAATATTGCACACTTATTTAAAAAAATAAAAATAAAAAATAGTAGTTATACCTCCTCGTCCAATGTTCTTAAAAGCTTGCAAGACACTTGATGAGTTTCCAGAACTGGTGATCTAAAAGTATTGACAGAACCCCACGTGAGTACTTTATTGGAGAAAGGATATGTGAACTGCTACCAAAATAATTTGCGTCAACGGCGTTATTACCTTTGTCCCACTTCCAGAAGAAGCTTGGGAGAGTCTGATAAATGGCCTTGCGATTTCTGACCGCACCTGAAAAGGTTAGGGTACAAAATATGAGCAATTGATTGTACAACAATTTAGCTGGAAATATGACTTTGAATGACACACTGCAAATGATTCTTCCAAATAGTGCCGTGAAGATGAACAGGACAAAACTACCTTAGAAGCTAGTTAAGTTGCGGGACTGCTAAATTATGATTGTTACGGTCATGCTACAAAAAAAACTACACCCCCCAAGCCCCGAAACCTTTTCTTTCAGTGACTACATTATAATTGTGCATCATTAGAGCACAAACAATCATCGGACTTTTGTCATCAAATAAACAATGCGGGATACTTTGAATTTCTGTTATGTCTCGATGGCTGATTGTTGTCGTCCTGCCAGTTCTTTTGTGAGCCGTTTATTGCGCAATTCGTCTTGTTCGTTTCGGTGAAGTATTTTGTCTTTCTTATTTTTCGCCCGTCCACTTGTTGACTTTTTTTCCGCATTTGCCTGGTGCTGATGTAGTACATCGGCGTTTTTTTTTTTTTTTTTCTCACGGTCTCGTGCTCCCTTGGTTTAGCAAAGTATTTTTTCTCCCCAACATGGTTCAAGTGCTACATGCCATTTCATTCAATTAAAAAAAAAACAAAAATGTAATTCTCGTGTTCGAGGTACCTACCCTTTTGACCAAGAGCGTTCCAAAAACCAATACGAAGAAACCCTATGTCAAGACAGAGAAAAGATTTGGAAAACATCAATCGGAACTGGTCGCCAGTCGGTCGCAGGGCACGTATAGAGACGGACAACCATACGCACCCACATTCGCGCAAGTCAGGCGAGTGTAGCACAACACACTCAGCGACACGGAAGAAATCCATTTCTCGATAAGCAATCGAGAAATGGTAATCGGAAACTCACCTGCAGAGAGTTGAAGAAGGCAAAGGCAATGTGGATTCCCAAATTTCTCGGGGCAACCAGGGTTCCCACTCCAAGACTCCAAGTTATTCCGAAAAACGGCGTGAGGATAGCCAAGGTCCGACAAACGGCCCCCATGACGTGCTTCTCGCTATCTTGCACGCTGCTTTGATTTCGTCGACTCTGCAGTACTTTCACCATCACCACGATTAAGATGAGGATGTTTATAAACACAATGAGGAGTGCCGGGATCACAAATGCCAGCAGTGCCTTCGACTGATTCCAATTGAGCCAGCAGACCTGATTTTCTTGAACGTAAGTCCTCCTCGGAGCGGTGATCGCTATCGTAAGGGTCGCGATCAGCAGCGGCGTCCCGTAGCCGAAGGAGAATCCCATGATCAACATGGCTGTTTTCGAGGGTCCTCTGCCCAAAACGTTGACCGTGTGATAGAACAGGAACATGGCAAAATTCAACATCCAGAAAAAGAGGGCCAAGTAGAAGAAATGGATGAAAAAGGTGGCGGCGGTGCAGGCGGGCGTATTCGATCTATCTCCTTCGGAGATACTGGCGCCGATAATGAACCAAATGTTTGCAATCAGGAGAGAGAGTGCGATGTTGACGATGGCGATGTTGCGCAAGTGGGATAGCGTGTCCTTTCGAACTCTGGTCCATATAAAGGCCTCGATAATGAGGCATAAAACTAAAGACCCCATCGAAATGCCCACGCCGATGAAGGTGATGTAACTCAAGATGCGGCTGTTGGGAAAGTTGGGCGACATGAGCATCGAAAACGAGGTCAGGTGGTCACACCGACACGTGACCGTGTCGTCCACTTGTTCGACGAGCTCGCAGCCTTCGCCGTCCCATCCTCCGAGACCTTCAAAGAGGGAAAAGTTCCAGAACACGCACTGAGGGTTCCCCAGGCCGTCGTTTACGATGTCAAAGGTGAACGTGATGTTGTCGACGGTCGTGTCGGACTGAACCAGGACGACTCGCCCGTTGATGACCCTGCCCGAGGCGTTGTTCTCGTCTCTCGGGGGGAGTACGTTATCCAAGGATTCAAAGGTGATCACGGTGAGGTTGGTCTCTCTGTTAGACTGCGGGATGTCGATCTCCACGGTGGAATTAAAGTCCCCGTTGAAGCTGCCGTTGAATGCCGTTTTGTTCAGGAGAATCAAAGGGGTTTCGATGCCGAAAGAATCGTTGACGAGTCGACTCGTGATGCCCTCAAGAGCGAACAACAGTAAGGAGCTGACGCTCTCGTTTCTGGGAGTGACGGTTCTCCTTCCTAGAACCTCGATGACAGCTTCAGTGTTAAGAGTGCTCCACGCGTCAATTGCCTGATCTTGGGTAAGGACACCGGTAGTTAACAGGACATCCTAAAGAAACAAAAAGGGGGCGGAGAAACAGTCAACCGTTGTTTTCACGTCATTTGCTGTGAGATGAGTGCGCATGAGACGAGCGTCGATACCTCCATCGACTCCTGACTTATCTGGAACAAAACTGTCGTCACAAAGGAGGCCACGTTGTTCAGAATGGTCACGATGGCCTCGATGTTGTTCGGATTTTCAGTCACTGGCTCGCTCAGTTCAATCGTGGCATTGCTGAGTTCGTCCAAGAACTCTGGCAATGTCGTTTCGGTCAAAAACTGAAATGTCAGAAGAAAAACGGCCGTTGCGCTCAGTGCCTGGCTCGAGGTTTTCTTCCGACTCAGGCAAACCCGTCGAATCTTCGCAGATTTCTCGTCCATATACGGGACCAAAAGGCCCTTTTAGGTCATTTGTCATTGTACTGTCTTCATGGGAGCCCAGAACATTTCTTAAGGTGGGACCCAACTGGGTCCCCGATAACTCCAATCCTCCTTGTTAAAATGTTATTTGATTGAAAATAAACAAGTGAAGCCACTCACCTCAGATTCCACGAGGAGTTGTGCAATCCTCTGCAGGAGGCAGGTATCTTCTCGATCTTCCCATTCGCCACTTTCCCTGCAAACGGCAGTCATCTCTCCCACCTCACCAATATCACAAGAGACGCTGGCCACTTCGTCTAAAAATCCATCTCCAAAGTCGGGATCACCGACGCATACGAGTTCACCTGGAAATACGAGACAGTTCCGCAAAAGGGCACCATCGTATTCCACGTGTCGTCATTCCCGGCTCGATCGTTACCTTCGCCGACCAACACCAACGAGATGCTCTGGCTGAAGTTAGAAAATTGAATCTCTTCACAAGTGATGTTGATTCCTCGGTTGTCGCAGTCTTCCTGTGTGATTGTAATGACTTCTTGGATATCGGTGCCATTATCTAAACATGCACAAAAATAGACAAGACTGTGAAAGTGAGACAGATTACTGACACCCATTTAGGTTCGAACGCCAAGTCTTTCTAAACTCGGGAGAAAAGCTCAACTATTTGCCTTCGCACCTTCAATAAAAAGCGAATGAACTGAACTACGCAAGACGGACAATCGTGAACTGCTTTCTTGACTGACTTGAGCGTGTTGGGGAATTTTTAAGTGGCCCTTTTCACCCTTCCGTTTTTCTGTATACAGTCCTCAAATGAAAATGTTTTGGGCACCCCTGAACTAAACTGAGCCAGAGAAATTGGGTCTCTCGCAGTGCAAAAACAACGAGCCAATTCATGAGTTCGCTTCGCTTTGTCTTGTCACATAGGGGCCGAAATTTTGACATTTCGCTGGTCAGTTGCAGTGTGATGGACTGGTCACTTTTCCTCCTTTTTCTGTGCTCCCTTTCCAAAATATTTAGAATACTTCTTAAATTGCGGAGCTTTGCGAATGCAAAATATTGTTTGGCTGCTTTTCTGTTGTTGTACCTGAATTCAAGATGTCGCTAAACACCACCCGGTAGGGTTCCTGGACAGAGCACCCGAGTGACACTTCCTGCCCAACCTGGCACAAGATTGTGTTTCGGCGCGGGACAACCCGGATTGTGGGTATGATCCCAAGCCTGACTCTTTGATTCGACTCTTGCAGGAAACTTGACTCCCCATCGAACAGCCGACATTGATATTGTCCTGAAATGAAATCGTATTGGGAATGAAAGACTCCACCTCGAACTAATCCAGCAAGCAGGAGGTGACAATCGAGGAAAAACATTTTCAAATCACTAAATGCGGTATTGTTGCTTTTTTTCCCCCCCCTCAATTGATGCCAGCGGATGACAAATGTGTCCCAGGACCGCGTGTAAATTTTGCATTCATTTTGAAAGCGCGTTTCCACGAGAGATTTCTTACCATCGTCGGTGACAAAGAAATTTGTGATCGTAAGCGTTTCCGATCTTTCATCTCGTGAGAAGTTGTGGCGATCATCTATATCTTCATTGATTACAATTCCATCACGTGTCCACAGCGTCGAAGTGATGCGGAAGTCGAGGTTCTGCGGTGGTGGGCCACATGCCAGAGTCACAGTGTCTCCGAAAAATACGTCAGATGGTACAGCTTCTAAGCTACTGCGGCCTTTGACGGGAAACGATGCAAAAAGTGGACAATTATGAGACTGTAGAAACATTTTTTTTCCCCAGACAACGAAGAGAGACGACATGAGCAGGTCTCCAATGAGAACCTGAGTTACTTACTCTCAAACACCATAGGAAACGAGTTCCTCAGGTCATTGAATATTCCTACTAGAAGTGCTTCAACATCCGAGTCTTGAATTGGAGTATTTGCCGAAATGACAAAGTCGGTAATGGTGCTACCAGACCTTTGTGAAAATATCAAAGCAGATGAAACATGATTAACGAATTACCGCAATACTGTACAACTTCGCTATGTCCCGCGAGGTACGTCGCAATGAGGGTCGACTGTAAATACAGGACCAGTATCGCTGATCGCGATACTTTAGAGAGGCGTAGGGGGAAAAACATTTTTTTGACTGCTCGGCACCGAGACAGACGCAGCAAGTCCAACGACATTGCTGTCGCCTGTGTGACAAAACTCCAACGGCGTATACGAGAGTGAAACTGAAATCGATCTCAGCTCGCTAGCATCAATCCGATGATGATCCTGACTCTTCTCAATATTCTCGATATTTGGATCGATCTGCACACCACTCGCGGAAAGCTTGCAGAATATCCGATGAAAGAATCAAACGTACCTGAAGCCTAAAAGATTCGCTGATTGCAGACCTGGGATGTGGATCGGAGATTGCGTTTCAATCTGTTTGAGACAGTGAGCGCGCCCGACGTGTGAATTGAAACACTTCGATATCACCAATCACAAGCACTCATTGAAGAGATGATGACAAATGAGAACTTACGGAATTTAAAGATGTCAGGAAAACATTATTATTTTCCTCGTTGAATGAGTCATCAAAGTCCAGATCTAAGGTGAACGATAAAAACCTCTCTAAAATACAAACGGAGCTTGTCAGTGCAAATTTTTTAAAAAATCGAGAAACATCGTAATTGCGTGTAACTCATTTACCGTCTATTGTCGGGGTCGTTGTCGGTGGACCTGAAGAGTGAATAGTAGAGCAAAGGTGAATTAAAAAAAACAATTTTCAAACATCCCACTATTTGTTCACAAATCTAACTCATGTTCACAAAACAACTTTCAGGACACTCCGGTTTTGACGAGATCAATCTTAGAGATTAACCTGCCCCCCCCCCCCAAAAAAAACCCAAAACATCTTATTAACAGAAACTCATCTGATTGTAGTGGCGCGAAATCAGACTTGAGACTGAAGAACTGAACGGAAATTTTGGAAAGAACGTTCTCAAATATCGATCGTCTTAAGTTTGCGATTGTGAAACGTTGCAGACTAGCTTCATTCAAAGTCTATCGGCACCAATTTCATTCATAAATATGTGCTTTGAATTTGCGGCATTTTAGGTTAATTCATGTTGGCGTTATATGCATTCCAGATACATTACTTTCTGTTGGACATGTAGCGGAGATGCCTGCGGGGGGGAAAAAAAAATTCATTGTAAACATCATGCTGTCACTCTTGTTATGACTAATTAATCAATACATTCTGAAACATCTTGAGAGCAGTTGCGCTTACTTGGCAGACAGAATATCCCGTTTGGGGGAATTGTATTGATGCAGTCGCAATTTTCCACACTGTCGTCATTGCAGGCGCCAAAAGTTTCGCAGACCCCACAGGGCCATAGGTACTCTTCCCCGCACTCGCACCGCTCTTCGAGATTGAAGTTTGACTGGCAGACTGAAAAAGAAACGGACACCGCAACGTTGACGAATCACATTTTGAGAAACAAGACCAAGTAGCATGAAACACGTTCTCACCTGTGGTCAGATTAAATTCTGTCACGATGAAATCGATGGTGACGTTTAATGGTAAACTGTCCACTGCTTCTCTGAGTCGTTGAATAACTTCTGTTGGCTCCGTCCTGAGTGTCCTGATGTCGAGAACAGTGTCGATTGAAGCTGAGGAGAGGTACAGGAACAGGACAGCACTTGAACCCACATGAGGTATGATGTATCTGCCTCAATAAAACAATCGACAGTGGACAATATGTCTTCGGAACACTGAATCCCTTTCAGACAAATGGAATGGAAAAGTGAATCGAAATGAGAAGAGTATTACAAATGTCAAGCCAAGGGTCAGAATAAGGATTGGACTGTACCAACTTCTTGATTAGGCACATGCACCACATCCCTTTCCATTTAATTTTCTAATCACTTAAAGCAGGCGTGCCCGATACGTCGATTGCGACGCAAAATCAGTCGATGGAAAATGAATGACGCGAAATCAGGACTTTGAAATATGAAATTTATCGGGTTGGAAACATAAACGGGGTACGTTGAAAAGAGGTTTGACTGTACCTCGCATCGTTGGCTGCATGACTGGTGGGACCGGTGTCGGACATGGTGGGATAGCTGTGGAGCAAAAAAAGATAACAAATATTCATTGTTTAATAGGAAGGGGAACCCGGTGTCAAACCTCATCAAATTCTAAAAAAATCAATAAGCAGCGTTTAATAACAACTTTACATTCGACATTCAGTGTAGATCTTTTCCACCCCTGGGAGGAACCCGGTGTCAAACCTCATCAAATTCTAAAAAATCAATAAGCAGCGTTGAATAACAACTTTACATTCGACATTCAGTGGAGATCTTTTCCACCCCTGGGTCAGAATATTTAAAAAATATCCTCCTGAATTCACATCTCGGTCATGCTAGAGAGGCTACGTCTCACAAACTAGACGATGATGGCTGGAGACAGGGAAGTCTGGGCATTCCTACTCACTACTGTTGCTGCCGCAAGCCGGGTGAGGAGAAGGAAATGGAAGCATGGAAATTGGTCGTGCTTGACTTTTATGAGCCTACTGTGGTTTCAACAGATGACTATAAGATTCACTTACTTGAAATTGGTTCACAGAAGCCCCCAAATGGAGGGATGCCAAGTATGCAGTCACACGTTGGTATTGTACTGGCATTGTTGCACGTAGGATGAGTTTCGCAGACGTCACACGGCCATCCGAATGAATCCTCGCACTGACATTCATATTCATCAGCAGAGCTTGAATTTGAAGAGCAAACTAACAAGAAATAGAAGCCGGAATGGTCATTTTTCCAATGCTTACACATTTCTGAATTGGATGAGCCAGTCACATTAGTTGAGGAGACGAATGAAGCGAAATTCTTACCCGTGGTCAGATTCCAGTCCAGTCTTAAATCATTTATCTCCGAATTCAAGATCGAGGGAGCATCCTCCACAGCAACCCTCAGTGAATCAATGAAGGCAAATGGCTTTGATGTGTTCACGATGAGGACCAAGTCCACTGATGCCGAGATGGAGCACAGGAGACACAACGACAGGAATGAGTTGACATTGCATTTTGGGCCCTTCATATGAAGCAAAATTTTCTGCGTGGCCTGCTGGCCTTTCTCGTAGGATGAGTGATGATGGTTGTACTTGATGATGCGAACTTAGTTTTCATCCAAACAAGAACTTGGCAAAATAGTGAGCCCGCGTGTGGTTAACGTCACACAGCCAAAACGATTTTGACATGGAACTGCATTTAAATTGAATAAGTCTCTGTTGACAAGCATTTGGAAGTAAAAAAAAAAAAACGTTACCTGAGATGAGTTGGGTCGGAGGTGTGATGGCGATACCTGCGAAGCACACACACACAGAGTCAACTTCCTGCTAAACTAAGCACGGCGTGACAATTCGGGCCCATTTCCTACAGCTTGAACATATATATCATGATTATCATACCGTCAGTCACAACCACAACAAAGAAAAGTTCATTGCCACCTTTGAATGACAGTAGTGCATTGATTGACTAATGCTCCACCCTAATCAAGTCCTCTAAAACATTACTCACCATTCCTTTTTTCTCTACCATGCCTGTGGGTTAGTTTTATGTCTGTTATCTCCTGGAACATATTGAAAGCACACTTGAGTCACATAAAATACCAAATTGGAATTTTGGGCGCTTTGGAATAGGAGCTATTTTGTTGTTCTCAATAAATGGTCAGTTTGTTCCGTTTTGTTCACCTCACAAACACTTTTTACAAATGTTTCCGCGTGTCTATCTCAATCTGCCCGCCGGCATTCACGTCTCGATTTCTTTCGCTCTTGCAATAGCTGAATAACATGAATTATGCTCCGGTAAACATGACGAAAAGAATTAGCTACATGCGTTGAAGAGCTAGCCAAATGCATTTGCCAAATATATACAGGGTGTTCATTCGTGTTTCAATCACCCTGCACGTCACCGCAATTATAATTGCATGGTTTGTTTATTTGCCACACGATAGCTCAAAAAAGCATAGACGGGTCGTGGAAACAAAAAAACCAAAACGCCAAATGGCTTCCCAATCCTAATTCCATCAACGTATTTGTAGTTGAAGAATCATTTGCAATGCGTGTTGCAAGGCATTGCACTGCATTAAAAGCTTACTTTGAAAAACAAGTTTGAAGACTGTGCGGGGTCCTTATTCCAGATGTAGGCACCCAGAAGGAGAACAACGATGAATTGTAGTACCTTCTGTAATGTCATCCCGACTGTAGGGAGCAAACGGAATCGCAATCAGAAGAAATTCAAATTGGCCCTGTTAAGACGGAAAGCCGTCCACCCGTTTTCGAGAGTGTTTGAAAAAAAAAAATCATGCCAAACGTGTTGTTGCGCCTGCCTCGACATATCAAGTCAAAGAATGTACGACAAAGAAGTCGTTTCCAAAGTTTGTATTTACCTTTGGTCTTCTTGTTATTGGTGAACGCAGCTATTTTGCCGAACGGCTTCAGAAAAGTCTGTGTCAGTTGCCATCCATCTGCTTTATAGGGCTTGTGTCCGCGTTTACGCACCAGTCTGACAGGTTCAGTTGCGACACGTAAATGGAACAATGACATTCATTAAGCGTTTTGAACATTCGAATTAGGGAATTAGGTTCCTTCTTCCTTGATGTTCGGGCTGCTGCTCGACGGCCGCTGCTGTTTGGGTGTGTATGAGGGCCTTTTAAACTTGATACGAGCAGAGAGTTAGAGATCAGACAAATCCCCAGTTTCTGCATTATATGATTTTCTGATGTGCGAGCTGGCGTTTTAATACTGCTCTCTATCCAGTGGTGAGAAATGAAGAAACTAAAGACTGAATAGTCGTTAATGTGACATGGTTTGATGATGCTTTACACCAAGGGTAGGGAAGTCCGGTTCCTCAAGAGCTGTATCCTGCCTGTTTTTGATCCGTCTCTACTCCAACACACCTGATTCAATTGTTCATGATCGATTCAGAGCTTGCTGATCGTTTGAATCAGATGTGCTGGAGTTAGGGAGGGATCAAAAACAGGCAGGCTAGGGCTCCTGAGGAACCGGAGTTCCCCACCCCTGGTCCACACGCTAGATGCATGGTGTTGCTGCTTGGCTCGCTATTCTTTGTCTGCGTTATGCAGACCACAGTGAAGAAATCAAGGCAAACGGATTACCACCCGCACAGTTTTAAGATCACAAAAAAGTCGACTTCTTGCACTTCTCTGGGTTGGTGTCGCCGGTGCATCAGGCCAGCCTTCTGTCTCCCCCAGCTCCATCTTGAAGCTCAATTTAGACTCTAAATTTTAGAGTCTTCCATTAACCTGGCTTTGGAATGTGGGAGGAAACCAAAGTACCCAGAGAAAATTGTCGACAAGCCCACCCACTGTTTCTGGCCAGAGAATGTGAACTTGAAATACAGTATGAAAAGCATCCTCGGTGTGAAACCAGTGCAATGACTGCATACCACACCTACAACACGAAACACATCATTATACGCCTCCTTGTCACTCTCTCGGGTGACGTTCTTTGTTATTCTTTTGTGCCATCAGGAAGAAGGCATCGTTATAGAAAAATGTCTGTCTTTTCTCACAGAACTTTACTGGCATGTTGACAGCAGTTAACTGACTTTCACTTTCACTTTCAGCAGCTTTTTAATGCGAGTTACACACATTGCTTTTTGAGCTGACTACGCCCTAATACTGATGCGGTTGAGTATTGCAATACCTTTTCATGGTCCCTTCTACGAATTACCATTTTAAATAGCTAAATTGGCTGAGATTGGCTGACAACCGGTTCAGGGTGTCCCCCGCCTACTGCCTGAAGACAGCTGGGATAGGCTCCAGCATGCCCGCGAACCTCGTGAGGATAAGCGGATCGGAAAATGGATGGATGGATGGATGAATACCTAAATTGGGTTTTTCATGTCTGGATAGTAACAGCTCCCCACCCTGATACTAAGCGACTGAAGTGTATATATTCCTCAGGCTGTCCATTTGGCTCCTCGCAGATGTATCGTTTGTGCTAAGTTTACTGAAGCGAGCGTCGTCATCATTTTGATCATAAATTGTTTTGTGCAGTTTTCCCCTGGTTTGATAATTGCTTTAAATGAAAGAAAATGATGACAGACAAAAGGCCACTGGTTGGATAAAAATGCGATGCTTTGAGGAAGTATGTGTCAGGGTGTGCCCATTGGGTGTGTGTGCGTGTGTGTAAGGAATGTCCATCTACAGATGACTTTTATTTGCGCTTTGACAGTTGTAACGTGACCTATTTTTTTTGTTTTCAGAATCCTACCTACATTATGTACTTTATCTATGTACTTTGGGGCACTGTACGAAAACAGAGGAGGCTTTTGGGAAGTGCATAATCTGTCTCTTGCCATGTCTCCAATTTAAAGTTTTCAAACATTTGTCATTTTCAAATTTTACAGTTAGGCTAATGTGTTTAATATTTCTGTGTTGCATATTCAATTGATTGCATAAAACTGCAGATAGATCATAAAGTGAGGCAGACTGAATTCTGCCTCCCCACTATTAAAATATTAGTAAGAATACTTCATTATCTATAGTGTTCATAATGTCTTGAAGTAATTAAGCTCTTAACCATGGAACATAGCGCTAGAATGCAAGTATCGGAACGTTAAATAACGCACAATAGCTAAAAGACTGAGAAAATACACAAACATACACAGAAATGTTATAAGAAAAACTTTATTTCTCTCACAATGGAGAAATTTCCAATTATGCGAGGGATGCCTTGATCTAATGCTGTCAGCATCTCCAGTAACCGCTTCTGCGATTAGAATACATAGCTTATGCACAAAAAGTTCGGAAAAATCGGCTTTTGAATGAAATTTCAGGATGAGCAGCATTGACACCCCTTTTTGGAAACAGTTTGTCGCTTGTTGAGTCTGAGCTGCGATTTTTGCAGCGGTTATCAAGTGTTGATCGCCTGTGATGATGAGGAGGCCTCCGATGATAGGTTGCTAACACCTGAAAAACACAAACAAAACACACTTCATCTAAGACCAAATGTGCGCAAATTGCTAGATTTATTTACAGGAGTTTCCACCACTGTTTTTGGGGCGGTTCAAAATATGAATTGCTGTTGCATGATGTGGCCACACTGCAAAGTACAGCCCATCAAATGCACAGCCCATCAAATTGTCAGGTGCAGCAGGGACCTGTCAGAGAAAACACCATTGGGCCGCTGTGGAGCGACCGGAATGGTGCAAGGTGGTTTGCTGGATTCCAAAACGCAAAGCTTGCGCCGGCTAAAATAGCTCGCTTTTCAAAAAAACACAATACCTCTTCTTCCAAAGTTCTTCCAGATATGCCATCCGCTTGATGAATTTTCAGCACTCGAGCTCTAAAAGAATTAAAAAAAAAAACCCACAAATCAGTACATGATTGGAGAAAGGATATGTGATCTGCCAACAAAGTGTGGATGAATCGCGTTCTAACCTTTGTCCCACTTCCTGAAGTCTGAGACTGTGTGAACACCGATATTTCTGACCGAACCTGAAAAAAAATGGAGTGCACACAAATCAGCATTCGACTGTCCAACTCTAATAACTTTTGCCAGGAGTTATGACAAGATTTCTGATTTCGATCATAATTTTTTCAAAAAGTGTTACCAATAGCACAATAAAGGAAAGAGAAGAAAGGCTAACATCAAAACATCTGTGAACAATTATGGGGCCGCTCAGATGTAATGATTGCGATTGCTCGGCTCAAATTAACTGTGGATGATGACAGAAAACCGCTCACACTCAAACCTCGGGACAATTTAGAGTGTTCAATCAGCCTGCCATGCATGTTTTTGGAATGTGGGAGGAAACCGGAGTACCCGGAAAAAACCCACACAGACACGGAGAGAATCAAACTTGCAACCTCTGCACCGTGAGGCCGACGTGCTAACCCAAACATCGCATTTTTTTTTTTTTTTTTTTTTACAATTACGGTACATACCTTTTTGTCCAAGAGCGTTCCAAAAACTAATATGAAGAATCCCTACATAAAGACAAGAAGAGAAGCTTTAGACAACAATGCCGTTTTGAGATAAAATGCAGCGCCTTGCGAAACATCGAACCACAGCCACATCTGCGTATGATGACTCATTATAAATATGACATGGTTATGGCAGTTCTGAATTAGGACTAAACAGTGATGAACAAGTTGACTTGACTGTCGTAATGCTCGTTCCTTTGGGATGAACGAGGCTTTCAGTCACTTGCAGCTCATCCATAATGGCCTGATTTCTAACTGGCTTTCAGACTAGTATGAGATGATCCAGCCTGTCCTTGTATTTTATATTCTCATATGTTTAGTTGTTTCTACTCCCAACTTGCATCTAACCCCATTTCTTGTGGTTGTTTTTGAAGTCCTTTAGGGGTATTTTGTAATCGATTAATTGGTAGAGTCTGGTTTAACGAAAAACAGTGGAAAGTACAAAAACAGTCAAAACTAACAATCGAGTCTCATGCGGAGTCAAACGCCAAAGAATAAAAAGGAGTTTGAAGACGAGTTTTAAAGATGAGCAGCGAGGGGGCTTGCCGAATGTTCATTTCAAAGAGAGGGAACGGCAACGGAAAAGGCTCCATCCCCTCTGAGCCGCCGCTTAGTTCTTGGTAGCTCGAAGGGTGTCAGAGAGGTAAGATGGGGCCAGGCCATTTCAAGATTTGAAAGCAAATCATAGGATCTTCAAAAGAACTCTAAAATATCGAGGGAGCCAGTGAAGAATCAATACATATACGAAAATGGGGTTAAAGTTAAAGATCTGGTAGAGAATGTCCAGCGTAGCTTGATTCAGTTGACTAAATCGACACGAGATTGAAAAATTACTTCCAAATATATGAATGAAATATCAACAGATAAACACAAAATATACAGAACAACATCCGAAGCTCACCTGCAGAGAATTGAAGAAGGCGAAGGTGATGTGGATACCGAGATTAGTTGGGTCAACTAAGATTCCAACTCCAAGACCCCACGTTATTCCAAAAAAGGGTGTGAGGATAGCCAAGCTCCGAATAATGACGACCAGGACATACTTCTCATCTTCATTGGCACCGCGCGTCATCCCCCGACTCTGCAATATTTTAACTATCACCACAATTAGGATGATAATGTTGACAAACACAATGATCAGTGCCGGGACCACAAATGCCAGCAGTGCTCTCGACTTATCCCAATTGAGCCAGCAGATGACATTTTCTCGAATGTAAGCGTCGTTGGGTGCAGTCACGGCGATGGTAATGACTGTGATAATTAGCGGGGCCCCGTAGCCGAGCGAGAATCCAATAGCTAGCATTGTGTTTTTCGAAAGTCCTCCACCAAAGACTCTGACGGAGCGGTAGAACAGCAGCAGGGCAGATGCCAACATCCAGAAAAAGAGGGCTAAGTAAAAGAAATGGATGAAAAAGGTCGCGGCGGTGCAGGCATCTGGATTCTTTTTATCTCCCTCGGAGATACTTGCGCCAATAATGAACCAAATGTCTGCGATCAGGAGAGACATTGCGATGTTGATGATGGAAACGTGGCGCAAGTATGACGTGTTGCTCTTTCGAACTTTTTTCCATATGAGCGCTTCGATAATCAGGCATATCACTAAGCATGCCATGGAAATACCGACACCAATGTAGGTTATGAAATCCAGCACGCGGCTGTTGGGAACGCTGGGCGACATGAGTATTGAAAACGAGGTCAGGTGGTCACACCGACACGTGACCGTGTCGTCCTTTCGTTGAACAAGCTCGCAGCCTTCGCCGTCCCATCCTCCGAGTCCGTCGAAGAGGGAAAAGTTCCAGAACACGCACTGAGGGTTCCCCAGGCCGTCGTTTACGATGTCAAAGGTGAACGTGATGTTGTCGACGGTCGTGTCGGACTGAACCAGGACGACTCGCCCGTTGATGACCCTGCCCGAGGCGTTGTTCTCGTCTCTCGGGGGGAGTACGTTATCCAAGGATTCAAAGGTGATCACGGTGAGGTTGGTCTCTCTGTTAGACTGCGGGATGTCGATCTCCACGGTGGAATTAAAGTCCCCGTTGAAACTGTCGGTGAAAGTCGTTTTGTTCAAGACTATCAACGGCGTTTCAATGCTGAAAGAGCCATTGACAAGCCTGCTCGTAATACCCTCAAGGGAAAACAACAATAATGAGCTGACACTCTCATTTCTGGGAGTGACCTGTCTCGTGTCCTCAAGGACAGCTTGAAGGTTAAGATTGTCCCACGATTCCCTTGCCTGATCTCGACTAAGGACATCCGTCACGATAAGGACATCCTGAAGTAAAAAGGGGGGAAAAGAATTGAAGTCAGTCCATATCTTAACATCCACCGTTTGTATATTGTTTGATAAACACAAACACACACACACCTCCATCGAGTCCTGACTGATCTGGATAGTAGGAGATGCTGTGACCAAGGTGGCGACATTGTTGAGAATTCTCACAATTAACTCAATGTCATTGGGAGATTGAGTCACTTCCTCACTTAGAACAAGAGTAGCATTGCTGAGTTCCTCCAGGAAATCCGGCACTGTCCTTTCATTCAAAAACTGAATTGTCAGAGGAAAGAAAAACAGTGTTACCATCAATCCGTGCCTCGAGGTTTCCGCACAGAAAATTGGAATACGGGAGGACAACTCGAGGCAAATGTGTTGGCTTTTATCCATCTCAAACGTGTCGTCCAAGTATACCAAGTGCAGTGTCCAGACAACCCCTGATCGAGAAATCGCTCCTGTTGGTTGGCCAATGACTCGGCCGCGCAACTTTAATTGTGTGCCGAAAAAAAAGTCAACCGTCTCACCTGAGATTCAATGAATAGTTGCACAATTTTCTGGATGTTGCAGTTGTCTTCGCGATCTTCCCATTCTCCGCTAACCCTGCAAATGGCAGTCTTCTCTCCGACATAATTTGTTTCACAAGAAGCTTGACCCTTTTCGTTTAAAAATCCATTTCCAAATTCTGGGTCACCTACACACGTGAATCCATCTGGAAAGATGTGCGTGTTTACCTATCTGATAGAGCAGGGGGAAATAGTCTTAAATGTGTGGCCGTTGCCAGCTCAATACTTACCATCGCTGACAAACCGCAACGTGATGTTCCGTGTGAATTGGGTAAATTCAATCACTTGGCAAACAATGTTGATTTCTTGGTTATCGCAGTCTTCCTGTGTGATTGTTTTCAAAAGTTGGATTGCAATGCCCGTTTCTAAACAAGTGCAAACAAAACCCAACACTGTGACAGTCTTCACAAAAAGTAAAAAAAAACAAAGATTCAGAAAACTGAATGTGAATTTTTAAAAATCCCAGATTCAGTGAAAACCCACACATGAACCCCACAGTGAAATGTGTCGATTGGTCATGTGGTTTTTCCGTTTTTCTCAGTATTAATTACAGCAAAAGACAAATTCACTCGAGCTCACACTTTTGACGGTTCGAGCAATAATTTGGGAATAAACTGCAAAATGCCAAATGTAGTTTGGATGCCTTTCTGTTTCAGTCTTACCTGTATTTGGGAAGTCTTTAAACTTGACATTGTAGGGTTCCTGGACAGAGCACTGGAGTGACAATTCCTGCCCAACCTCGCAAACAATCGTGTTATTTAGGGGAACAGTCCGAATGGTGGGTGTTTCCAAAAGACTGAATCTTTCATTGGAGTCTTGCAGGAAACTTGAATCCCCATCAAACAGCCGACATTGATAGTGTCCTGAAATAATATTATGCCAATTACATAAGACTTGACTGCAAATTACCAAGGTGGGAGATAACAGTAAAAGGAAAATGATTTCAACTGGTGTAAAGGTTTAGTGTTGAGTTGCTTTTCCACAATTTCCCCCAGAAAAGATGACAAGCGTGCAATAGTTGAGTACACTCGAACCTCTTCACCCCTATAACGTTCACATTTCAAAGTCCGGGTTTCATGTCATTCATTCTCCATCTGCCGATTTTGCTGACAACTAACACCTTTTTTATACCGTAATCTTCATTATAACAACCAGATTTACTTGTGCAAACTCATGAAAAGGCCTTTGTTACATCAAACCATGGGAAGCTCACTGTCGTCGCGACCTTGCTTAGAAACAAAATGTGCAGTGCGGGATTCTCCTCTGTTGCTTTGCATAGTCTATGTTCATTGTTGTGCTCCCGGAGGCACGACGCGGTCCTGACCACTGTCAGGTTTCCGCAACGAAACGTGAACTCGGAAAGAATTGACAAAAAAGCTTTATGAACAAAAATTGGTCGCAGGACCAACAAAGTTCGACAAAGAACACTGGTACAACCCCGGTAAAACACTTGCAAAAAGGGTGAAGGATAAAAAAAACGAATGAAAATTGCTTGTCATTAAATAGAGAAGAAGAAACCCAAATGCGTATAATCCAAAAAAAAATATGCCATGAGCGTCCTTAAATAGTCGTCTGATTATTTAGGCAGCGGATGTGCAAAATAGAGGGATGGCCCTCCTCTGCCACCTGCTGGAGAAACACAAGAACAGGACCGTGACAAGCACATGGTCTGAAAACACGTCCGGTAAACGGAAGCAAATCTTTCTGCCCGAGAAGGCTGAAATTGTCCCGCACTTTCAAAAGGGAGTCTCCCAGGTCAGCCGAGACACCCGTAATGGCAACAAAATCATGGCAGATTGAAAGATGTTTGTTGTAACGAGGTTCGACTGGATACATTTTGTTGATTTTAAGATCATATACGGTGCTTCAAGTGTTTCTTACCGTTGTCAGTAAAAAAGTAATTGGTGATCTCAAGCGTTTCCATTCGATTAGCTCGTGAAAACCTGTGCAGGTCATCTTCAATTATTAAAGCACGATCAGTTTCTAAACAAGTGCAAACAAAACCCAACACTGTGACAGTCTTCACAAAAAGTAAAAAAAAACAAAGATTCAGAAAACTGAATGTGAATTTTTAAAAATCCCAGATTCAGTGAAAACCCACACATGAACCCCACAGTGAAATGTGTCGATTGGTCATGTGGTTTTTCCGTTTTTCTCAGTATTAATTACAGCAAAAGACAAATTCACTCGAGCTCACACTTTTGACGGTTCGAGCAATAATTTGGGAATAAACTGCAAAATGCCAAATGTAGTTTGGATGCCTTTCTGTTTCAGTCTTACCTGTATTTGGGAAGTCTTTAAACTTGACATTGTAGGGTTCCTGGACAGAGCACTGGAGTGACAATTCCTGCCCAACCTCGCAAACAATCGTGTTATTTAGGGGAACAGTCCGAATGGTGGGTGTTTCCAAAAGACTGAATCTTTCATTGGAGTCTTGCAGGAAACTTGAATCCCCATCAAACAGCCGACATTGATAGTGTCCTGAAATAATATTATGCCAATTACATAAGACTTGACTGCAAATTACCAAGGTGGGAGATAACAGTAAAAGGAAAATGATTTCAACTGGTGTAAAGGTTTAGTGTTGAGTTGCTTTTCCACAATTTCCCCCAGAAAAGATGACAAGCGTGCAATAGTTGAGTACACTCGAACCTCTTCACCCCTATAACGTTCACATTTCAAAGTCCGGGTTTCATGTCATTCATTCTCCATCTGCCGATTTTGCTGACAACTAACACCTTTTTTATACCGTAATCTTCATTATAACAACCAGATTTACTTGTGCAAACTCATGAAAAGGCCTTTGTTACATCAAACCATGGGAAGCTCACTGTCGTCGCGACCTTGCTTAGAAACAAAATGTGCAGTGCGGGATTCTCCTCTGTTGCTTTGCATAGTCTATGTTCATTGTTGTGCTCCCGGAGGCACGACGCGGTCCTGACCACTGTCAGGTTTCCGCAACGAAACGTGAACTCGGAAAGAATTGACAAAAAAGCTTTATGAACAAAAATTGGTCGCAGGACCAACAAAGTTCGACAAAGAACACTGGTACAACCCCGGTAAAACACTTGCAAAAAGGGTGAAGGATAAAAAAAACGAATGAAAATTGCTTGTCATTAAATAGAGAAGAAGAAACCCAAATGCGTATAATCCAAAAAAAAATATGCCATGAGCGTCCTTAAATAGTCGTCTGATTATTTAGGCAGCGGATGTGCAAAATAGAGGGATGGCCCTCCTCTGCCACCTGCTGGAGAAACACAAGAACAGGACCGTGACAAGCACATGGTCTGAAAACACGTCCGGTAAACGGAAGCAAATCTTTCTGCCCGAGAAGGCTGAAATTGTCCCGCACTTTCAAAAGGGAGTCTCCCAGGTCAGCCGAGACACCCGTAATGGCAACAAAATCATGGCAGATTGAAAGATGTTTGTTGTAACGAGGTTCGACTGGATACATTTTGTTGATTTTAAGATCATATACGGTGCTTCAAGTGTTTCTTACCGTTGTCAGTAAAAAAGTAATTGGTGATCTCAAGCGTTTCCATTCGATTAGCTCGTGAAAACCTGTGCAGGTCATCTTCAATTATTAAAGCACGATCAAGTGTCCATTCGCTTGAGGTGATACGAAACTGGAGCGCCTGTGGTGGTGGGCCACATATCACATTCAATCTGTCGTTGAAGAATACGCCACGTGGTTGAAATGTTAAGTTTCTGCTGCCTTTGATGAAAAACAACAACAGAGGGTGTTACAATTATTACTCAGCAGAAGATTTTCCAGACAAATCAGCCAAATGCCCGCGACCCTTGTGAGGACAAGCAGATTAGAAAATGGATAGGCCGATGGATAAGCCAAATGATGCGATGACATGAAAAATGTCTCCAAAATTATGAGTTACTTACTCTCAAACCTCACCGGGAAGCTATTCCTCAGATCATTGAATATTGCCACCAGAAGTGCGTCAACATCCTGGTCTTGAATCGTAGTATTTGCAGTAATTTCAAAGTCAAAAATGGTGCTACCAGTCCTATAGAAAACATTTAAAATCAGATTCGACTACAGTGTGTGAACTTAATAAGAGCAACTTGAAAAATGAGAGAGATTTGTTTCTTATTTGATCACTCATGAACCGAAAAGGTAGCTTTGACCAGAATTGTGAAACAAAGGCCAAAAGTCTTGCATTGAACTGTCGGAATGGCAAGGTAAGGTAAATCATTGTTTAAAAAAAGAATTAAATCTACCTGAAGGCCAAGAGATCAGCTGAAAGTAGACCAGGGATATGGATCTCAGAATGCGTTTCAATCTATTTGTAATTGAGGACATCCAACATGTGAGTTCGACAATGATATAAGTGACAACAATTGCAAACGTTCTTTGAAATGACCACAAGAAAAAAAGAGATAACTCACAGCTTGTGAACATCTCTGGTGAACACTGTTACTTTCATCATTGTATGATTCATCAAAGTCAATCTCCAAAGTGACCGATAATGACCTCTCTAAAATGCAGAAGTGGCTGGTCAGTACAAATTATTCCACAACTTCATTTTGAAGAGTCATTATGTAAAACTTAATTACCGTCTATTGTCATGGCCGGTGTAGACAAACCTAAAGTGTGAATTGGAGAGGAAAGTTGAATTAGAAGAAATTCTCAAACAGTCCAGGAGAAAATATTGGATAAAGTATTGGACTGTTGTTGAATTACACACTAAAATGTCAAAGCAAGGGTGAAGGAAAGTTCTCTCACGTTAATTTGTTGAAAGATTGTGAAACCAGTGCCATTCTGAAATGTGTCATTTTACTTTACCTTTGATGGAGTTCATGGATTTGTACTTGTGAGTTAAGATTTGAGGTGAATGAATGGAAGAGTTGTATACTGTACTGGAGTGTATGTTTGAGATACTTTACTTTCAGTTGATGGTGAGGTGGTTGTTGCTGTGGTTGTGGTGGTCGTTGTTGTCGTTGCTGTCGTTGCTGTCGTTGCTGTCGTCGGTGTCGTTGCTGTCGTCGGTGTTGTGATTGGAGTTGGGGTTGGAGTTGGGGTTGGAGTTGGAGTTGGGGTTGGGGTTGGGGTTGGGGTTGTGTTTGATGGACAAGCGGTGGTGAGATCTGGGGAGCGTAATTGAATATGTTTCTTATTCACAAGTAAAAATGACTGAAATGATCATTACATGATATTTGCTGGCAAATGTAATTAATAGTCAGTGATGGGGATTCCGTCCCTGGTATGGAACGCTTCGGAGGGACGTACATTTGGGGATGGAGGCTGAGAAGTCTTTTTCAAAAGGACGGACAAGGCAAGAACGGAAAATGGGTTTTCATCCCCAACTGGGTACCGATGGAAAAGTATTTCACTATTAACAGACAGAAATCCATCTACACGCATGACGCTTGAGAAAATGGATGGATGGAGACCAGCAATGCTCTCTGTCTTTTGAATGACATTTCATCACATTCACAAGAGCTGCACTTACTTGTGATTGGCTGACAGAACTCCCCAAACGGAGGGATTCCATTGATGCAATCACAGGTTAATGGACTGGCATTGCTGCATGCACCAAACATGTCGCAGATGTCACATGACCAAGTGAAGGAATCTTCACATTGACACTCGGTTCCTCCGGCAGAGTTTAGGGGGCAGGCTGAAAAAGATATTTGCGCCACAGTATTTATAGGTGACCGATTTCAAAACAAAATTAGAAGGGCTCCTGACATTAGTCGAGAAGCCCGATCACCTGACAGGAATCCTCACCCGTGGACAAAGTCCAGCTTGACAGTGTTAAATCATCAGTTATCTCTAAAGGTGATGAGACGTTAGCTATGGCGTCCCTCAGTCGATTAATGATCTCTACTGGCTCCATGTTGGTTGGAGTGTCCACCGTGAGGA